TAAACTTTTATAAAAATACTTTCAGGCATGAATTAAATTTAACTTATATATGAATTAATGTGTAGAAGCCTTCTCCTCTTAATATTTCTGAAATTTTATTTTATTTTAAAAAAATGTTTATAGAAAAGTATATTCAAACACATCATAATTAAGGCCACTTGAATTGAATTAAATAGTGCTAAATTCAGAACCCCAACAAGGACAAAAACTAAACACACAGTTTAGGACTTGTAAACTTTGCTTAATTAGAACATGATGAGTAACACTGTTTTCTTAATTAAGTAGTATAGAAATGATATGGGTGAAGCTAATTAAAGTTTGTTAATTAAGAAGGAGAATCACATGGGGGGTATTTGCTTTAATGTAAAACATGATGGGATTTACACTGAAATAATGAAACAGAAGCAGTTGCACTTGTTCTAAAGAGTCCCTTTCAAGTGTTAAAAAGAAGGAGGGTGCGTTTGGAAAAGCAAGAAAGCGAAAATTGAATTAAGCATAGCATAAAATGGAGCTGGGTGTGTATGAATTAATCATGACGATATATCGATCATCTATGGCCACCACTCATCAAACGGACCAAACTCAAATCAGATCGTGGGTCCGAAAATTTAATGTCACCCTCTTCAGATTATAATTATTAACTCTTCCTGCCAAAAACACACATATATACGCGAAAGAGATTATATAATTACTCTTATGAAGAGACATTTTTCCTTTCACGTTTAGTTTAATCCTAAGAAAAGACAACCTAATGATATTTTTCGGTGTATAACATGAATTTTTTTTTTCCATTAATTAATTAATATATTTCATGGCTTTTCATGATGGGCTGTGTCATCTCGTGGCTGTGGGTAGAAATTCACGGATTGTTGAAAAACAGAGCAGCGCTATGTAGGTGAGGAAAGAGCCATTTTGTCATATGCATAGCCTTTATATATATATATATATATATATATATATAGAGAGAGAGAGAGAGAGATAAAGATAGGGATTATGTATGCTTGTGTTACTTGTTTATTTGTGGCTATCCGATCTTATCTCACACTAGTAGTTAGAGTGAGACATATCTCATTCCTCTTTTTCTATGTTGGTTGTTCTCTTTGTGAATATTTTTGCAGGTGATGATTATTAGGATGATGTTGGTGATGAGACATGATGTCATTGACTATGGTTGGGATATGCTCTTATATAGGATGTGAAATCGAAGACTTTGGAGTTTAAGTTTTATGTTTTTTTGATATTTTACCTTAAAATTGGTTTATCTATTTAGAAACTTTTGTTACATTGTGTTTGGTTGTGAGGAGAGAAATATGTGAGAAATAAGATAAAGAGAAATAGAAAAGACAGGAATAAATGAGTAGAAATATGGTGGAAGTTACTTAGTTTGTTTTAAGAGAAATAGGTAAAAAATAAAAGAAAAATATTATAAAATTGTTTAGTTTGAATAAATGAAGAGAAATTAAATTATAATTGGAGTAAAATTATCATTTTACCCTTTAAAAGTTAACTAGTAGTTTGTTTGGGAAGTGTGAAATAGAAGAAAAAGAAAAAAAAGTGTGAAGAAGTTAAAGAGTGTAGCGAGTTTGAGGTGAAAGAAGAGAAGAAAAGTGTAAAAAAATTAATGTGAGTCTCACTAAAAAAACATTTTCTTGTAAATAGCTGAGAAGTATGCAAAAATGGCCACTTGCCTTTGATGTATTATATATATATATATATATATTAAAATAATAAAAGCCTCTCTCTCTCTCTAGCTTCTCTTTTTGTTGAGTTCAGATTCGAGTTAATTGGCTTTTTGTTTTATTAGTTTGTCTACTTCTCACATTGCTAATTAATTACTGCTGCCCATGCTGCTTCTTCTTCTAACTTATTTCAGGGGGATTAATTGGACCTGTGGGAAAATATCTTCACCTTCAATCTCTCCGTACATGCATCTTCATCCCATTGATAAGAAAAAGGATGGTTGCATGTCAATTTCTTACAATAGTTTTAAATTTATAGGTTAAATTGTATTTTTTTTTTTATTTTTAATAATATAAATTTATAATTTTTGTTTTTTAAAATTTTTAATTTTAATTTCTTAATTTTATATATTTTATAATTTTTATTTTTTGTTAAATATTCACTATAACAAAATTTGTTATTAACGACAATTATTTAATAGTAATAGTTTAATTATCGCTATTTAATTATATAATAAAAATATTAATAGCTAATATATAATAGTCACTTAAAATGTATTTATATTACACTAAAGTTTACTATTAACGACAATTATTTATTAAAAAAAGCTAGCCTCACATTGATTAGAGATAAGATAATTAAATAGTATATAAGTGAGTAATAACTATCACCTGATAAATTGATTTTATAGGGTTGAGTTAGACTCTTAATTCACTATAATAAATTAGTATCAAATCACCCACTATTACCAAGTTTAATAGAGCTATAAAACAATTAGAGAACAACTTTCACACCTTACTATAATAACATCTCTTAAGAGATAAGACAATTAAAAAAATAAATTAAAATATATATAAATAGAAGACAACCCTCATCTTATAAATCTCACATCGACTAGAGATAAAAAAAAATATATAAGTTATGAATTTAGGAAAGAAAATTATGGGAATAAATTATTTAAAGTTTTACTAGCAAAAGATAAAAGTCACTAAATGGATAGAAAGGAAACAATTGAAAAAATAATTTTTAATAGCCTTTAAAATGGTTACTAGAATTGTCACTAAAAAAAATAAGTTTTCCCGACAATTTAGTAGGTCTTTACCAGCATTTTATATAAATGCCGCTAATAGTATTAGCGACACTGGATACACCATCCATTATTTAAATTTTGGTAAAAAAAATAATGGCTATTTATATGGCCGCTAAAGAATAAATTAATTGCCACAAAAACCTAATTTTGATGTAGTGATTTATTTATTAATCGTTAAAATTATAAGTTAATAATTATTTAATATTAAATAAATAATATGATAATTAATATTTAATAATATTAAAACTAAATTTTATATTTTATATTTATTTATTTTTTTATATAATATTAGGTCACAATGAACATTATAATTTTAATGATAAATAAACATTTTAAAAAGAGATTAAAATTATAAATTTTATAAAATTAAAGAATTAAAATTGTAAATTTTAAAATAAAAGACTAAAATTTTATATTTAATATTATAAAAGTATTAAAAATATATTTTAATCAAATTATATTACCAAATTTCATTGATATAAGTAGCTGTGTATTTTAACTAATAAATAGAATTCGATCTTTGTGTTGAATATGAATTTTTGATAAGAAACATTATTTTATTTTTATAGGAGCTCATCAAAATAATGATTTCATTTTATTAAAAAAAATACATTTTAAAATATCTTCTTTTTCTTAAATAAGACTCTGTTACAATTTATCCTTCTTAGGTAAATTAAACAACCTTAAATTTCCGTATTGTATAAATTTTTTATTAAATTCATAACCCTTTTTATGCTTCTTTTTATTATATTATTATATTACCATCGTTTAAAGGTAAACAAGTCATTGAATTAGTAACGTATTTATTCAAAATTCAGTGATTTAACAGTAGTTAAATTAATATTAATAAAATAATAAAAATTAAATAGTATATAAAGTAATATTAAAACACATAATATCATAACTTTATTATAAATATAACATTAAAAACTAAAAATGAAACATAATTTTATACGTTTTTAATATTTAACGTTTATAAAAAAATTCAAATAAAGTATGTCGTAATTCCAATTGTTATGTCTAAATTTTAATAACACACATTAATATTTATTAATAATAACAACTTTACATTTAGAGAATAATTTTATTTTATTTTATTTTTTAAGGAAAAAAACAAAAATGATGTTTTGAATTAAAAAATTCATTAATTCACTTTAAATCGAGTGCTTGCTAGTTTTTGACTAATATAATTCCTTGAGTAATTTTTCTCCTGACTGGTTTTATGATTTATTTGAACCTATTAGATCATCAAGTCATATTTTTTTTCCAATCCAACTAATCGATTCTATTCGATTTTTTAAAACAGGCATTACAAATTGTATATAGTATATTATTAGTTTCTCAATTCTCATTAAGAATTTAAGAAATAAAACTCATGACATAAAAATGATTAACTTTATATGCAATATATTTATTATTAAATTTTAATTCCATTACAATAAAATTGTCGTATAGTAACACACACCTTATAGTAATACAATATGTATGATTAAAAATTATTCATTTATATAATAAATATAATATATGTTGATATATTATTAAAAAATATGAATATAAACTATAATGACACACAAAATATGTTGTTAAATCTCATTCAAAATCAACATTAAAATTATATATAACTATATGTCAAATAGATATAGTGACACTTTTTGTATGCAACTATATATAACATTTCTTGTAAGGTTAAAATCAAAACTTCATCTTCATTATTTATCTACTAATTAAAAATTATCAATAAAATTAGATAACTTATAACTTAAATGAAAAATAATATAAAATATTATAATTACGTATTAATGGCGTAAAATTTTAAACATTTAACTAATTACAAATTATAGTATATGAGACTTAATATATTTTATAAAATTCAATAAGTTCACCTATATAACAATTGGATGATTTATTACATAGATTCTTTTTTGTTGTTGAGAAAAGTCTCATTCTCACCGAGTCTATCTCTACAGTACTAAAAGTGATATATATTTTTAATTATAATTCTATTTAAATTGAAAATCTAAATTTGATTGTTAATTAAATAACCCATGTATCTAACTACATGTGTTAACATCCTTATGTTAAAAATATGTGTAATATAATAGGAAAGTTTTGTTTATATTTTTTTACAAATGTGAAATAATGAATTTTGATGGATGAAATGGTAATTTCCTTCAAGTTGTAACATATGAGAGTACATATCACCCACCAATTACCCACTGTCTGCAGAAGCCGCCTCATAAACTGAGTTTCCCTCAAACTCTCACACACACTCTCACTCACTCACAGTCACACAACACACACTCTTACTCACCAATTGAGAGGGAATTAAGTAACTTTTATTGGTAGAGAGAGAGAGAGGGAGAAGGGGACAAAAGGGTTCAGCTTTTTGAGGGTGAAAGTGAGATCTTTTAAGCGCACATCCGTTTAGCAAGAGGTAAACACTTAAACCACAGACCCAGATAGGGAAAACCAACACACCCCAACATCACAAAAAAGAAAGAAAAAAAAAACTTAATGTGCACGCCATTGGGGTGAGATGAGATAGGAGAAAGAAGAAAAGAAAACAACTTCTCCAAATTAGGGCTTTTATTCTTTCCCATCAATTCCACTCCTTTGTTTCACTCTCAAAACTCCCACCACAGGTAACACCCCCCTTCATAAACCCTTCGTGATAATCCTTAAAAAACACAAAACCCATGTTTTTTTTTTTTCTCTTTTGCTTTTGTTGGTGTTCTTACACTCACCAATTATTGCTTTTTGTTTTGTTTTCAGTAGAGACATGTTGGACTACGAATGGGGGAACCCCTCTCCGATAATGCTCACCGGAAACGAGGACAACGCCGCCGCGGCCTCCGACCAAGCCCCCCGCCAAATCTTCGACCACTACGCCTCCCACACGCTCATCCCCGACCACTTCCTCCACGCGCCAACGCACTCCTCCGCCACCACCGCCGCCGCCGCCACCGTGGATTTCACCCACCACCACCACCACTTCAACCCCCAGCCCCATCACAACCACATGAACAACCACCACCACGCCTTCTTCGACCCACGCGCCTTCCACAGCGCGTCCCCCGCCTCCTACCCCCCACCCCCCTCCATGCTCTCCCTTGACCCGCTCCCCCACGTCAACTGCGGGCCTGGGCCGGGTCACGGACCTGGCCCAGGCCCCGGCCTCCTCCTCGTCCCAAAGTCCGAGGATATCAACCGTCCTATGGACTTTGTCGGCTCACGAATTGGACTCAATCTCGGAGGGCGCACTTATTTCTCGTCCTCCGAGGATGACTTCGTGAACCGACTTTACCGTCGGTCTCGCCCCGCAGAGCAGGGTTCGACGGCCTCGTCGAACTCGCCGCGTTGCCAGGCCGAGGGATGCAATGCTGATCTGTCCCAGGCCAAGCACTACCACCGCCGCCACAAGGTGTGCGAGTTTCACTCCAAAGCTGCCACGGTCATCGCCGCCGGGTTGACTCAGCGATTCTGCCAGCAATGCAGCAGGTTGCGGTCGTTCTCAGTTCCCACCGTCGGAAATTCGTCAATCATTGAGTTCCACTTCCCCAGGGGCATTTCCGTCTTTCCCCACACCTACCTTTGCTTCTTGCAGTAGCGCAATTTTATTTCCCCTTTGAACGCATAAAATGCTACGCTGACTAACCGGTTAAATTTAGTTTAAATTTAATGTTCATTAAATTGACCGGATTTCGAAATGACCGAAACGTCCTTCGTTTTGATGTCTATTTTTGGCTGAATTATGAACACAACCTTAACTTGTTTTCTCCACGAAAAATGTTGCGAATTTTCACGCACCATGTTTATAATTGAATTTTTTTTAATTAATAATATTAAATCCACTTGTTTGTTCTTTCATGAAGTGAAATGGTTGGGGGAAAAGACGAAAGTGCCCTTGGGGGGAGTGTTGATAATGATTGAGTTTGCCGTACGTGGGGAAATCCCGAGGGCATTTGCGTCCCTAACATGTTTCTTGTTTGCTCTTACTCTACTTTCAGTTTTGCAACCTACGTACTGCATCGTTTTGCTCCTTTTAGTTAGTACCACTAAAAACAGCTGCATAGTGCATTGCATCAAGAAACTATATATTATTTTTTATGGGTACTTGTTTACTTAATTATTCTTTGATTTTGACGTGCAGGTTCCATCTTCTTTCTGAGTTTGATAACGGAAAACGTAGCTGCAGGAAGAGGTTGGCAGATCATAATCGCCGCAGAAGAAAAACTCAGCAGCCAACTCAAGAAATCCAGAAATCTCAGCCATCTTTGGATAATGTTGCAAGTACGTACGACCCTCTTATTTCTTAAATTCTTTCATCTTCGTCTAACTCTCACTGTGTTAAATTATCACTAATTGGTAATGATTAAGTACTAATTAACCACTAATTATGAGCCAAATTATCTTGTTGTGCAAAAGCAAAAATAATTTTTACTATTCCTTTTCATCTTAATATGGTGCAAATAATGTTAAACTATTCTAATCTAGCTCAATTTTAATGCCTCAATTTTTGAGTGGTCAAGGAGTTATTACTTATCACAAACATGCACGATTATATATCATTCTTTTTTGAAAATTATTTTATGGAGAATGAGGGTTTTTTCTTTCATTATTTTTTTTTTGTTTTTGTTACAATTTTGCATTTTTATTTTGTGAGTAGGATCTCCACCGGACTCCGGAGCTCAGTCTTCCTCGTCGGTGACAGTGGCGGTGTCGCCGCCGGATTATTTCCGGCAGAGGCCATACCAAAGTGCAAACCCTTCAACGACTTCAAGCTCACTGTTTTTCTCAAGCGGGTAGTGCATGTTGATTTGCATGGCTAATTAATATTTGCAAGGAAGAATTAACGGAGGAGCGTCATCATCAACAAATAATATATAGTGAACTACTACTTCCACTTGTAACTTAATTTCTCCTGATTTAATTTCCAACCTTTTTAATCTTCTGTTATTAATTTGTACGAATTGTGATTTAAATCATCTATGTTAATTATCACCACCCTTAATTTTCTATATCTGTTGTATATTTAATTTTCAGTAGTGTTAATCAATTATTGACCCTTTGGGGTGCTGCTATATACTCATGATCATGATCACTAGCTAGCTATAGCAAATAGAATTCTGCTCAATACCCCCTACTTTATGATCGGTTCAGCTTTCACTGCTGTAAAATTTAGTTATGGTAAACCGTAGAAGGGAAATTTGGACCCCTCTATTTGGATTTTCCCGGAAATAGGACCTGTTTGGTTCTGAGATTATTGTAGCAGCTGAGCACGGGTGTTCAGGCCTATACACATTCATTTTGGAGCATTGAATTATTTTCCTTTTGTCTGGCCCTGGAATTTTTCCGGAAAAATGAAGGGATCATGTAAATTATGAGTTTGCATAACCTACCGTGTATTATAAAAATAAATAAATAAAAATATAAAAATATAAAAATAGACTTGAATCTTAATTTGTAGCTAGGAACATTTATTGGAATCCCTAGCCGTCAAGCTGTCTCCTCTATGGAAGCTATATAGCTGTACTAAACCCAGTTATTGTTTCCAATATCAACCTGCAGATGCCCTTTTCTTTTTCTCCCTTTCTCTCTCTCTCTCTTACAATTTCATCATACATGTGTGGCTATTCCTTGTTAAGTACCTACCGGTTGGGTCTACCCAAAAACCAAAACCAAAGTAGAGGGAGGATAATTCTCACACTTAAAGGTAATATGATTAAAGTATATAAACAAAAAATTGTTAGCATAAAATTTGATCTTCTAATTAATCATAAGTATACGATTGAAGATATAATTTTATTTTTAAATGGGTTGATATATCTCTTTATTATAAAAAATATAATATATATGAAATATATACATTAATTTTATAAAACTGAAATAAGTCAAAGTTTATATTTTAAAATGGTATCTAAATTTATATTTTAAAATGGTATCAAATATTTCTCTACAATCCTGAAAAACTTTATGTTTTGTATATGGGTTCGAGTACCTCTTCACCTGTTACATATTAATTTTTCTGTTTTCAAAAAAAATCTAAATTTATTTTAACGACTATTTATTTTTTATTATTAAAAATATTTAATAATTTATTGAGTGAAAGACTAATTATGTTTGTAATAATGTGTTTGTGATTGACCTTGAATATATTGATGAGTTCATGTAGATAACATAAATTGAGCACGAATTGTTAACTAAATACAATTATATTGAGGCATATATGTAGCTAAAGAGGACTGTAATAATTAGAATCATGTAATAATTTGTTGTGTGTGTGTGTGTGTGTGGGGGATGTGTTTGGTGGCAACATGGTGACTCGTGACCATGAGTGGCAGGTGGTGTGCCTAAAGATGTGTAACGCGTTTAAGGTCACCCACCCATGTGGCGCATGTTTTTAATGGATAGTGCAAACAATAAAAACGGGAAGGGACACGTAGCTATATCGAGCTCTGAGTTACATCAAATTATCATTAATAGGGGCCTGCAATTTCAAGTTTTGTGAGAGGGAATTTCTTCATCGCTTTCGAGTAGTGTTAGTACCCTCATCAAATTAGGCAATGTGTTGTGTTGTGTGAGAGGACCTAGACAGCTTTTGTCGCAATTATAGCCAACAAATTATGCATCCTCTCTTTCACTCATAACACTTAGGGTAATAATATAAAAATATCTACCAAATTAATCACCTAAATCACTCTCTAATTTCCATCTAATTATGGCATCTCGTCACAAAGCTTAGCCTAATTAGCTACATCATTCACACACATTCACTTCCATGTTGCGTGCCCATAATATTTGTATTGCCTAGACTTTTTGTTCACTAAAAAATATATATTTTGTCCATATTGCATTGATTCTTTTGTTCCTAAAACTTATTCATGCGTGCCTTTTTGGCAAGTTAATTTGAATTATTGCTACCATTTCCTACTCGTTTTGTTTAAGGAAAGTAATTGGTGCCATTAGGAAGAAAATAATTAAACTACTTTCGGTAGCGACCTATTCTAACATATATATAGTTGTCAGTGTGTTTGAAACATATTTCAGTAATATTTGTTCCCATGGCTTGGTGCCTAAAATAGAAAACCAACTATACTTGGTTTCATCTTCTGCTAATTCTCTTTTTAAGTTGCTTGGAAAAAGTTTCTAAATATATAGATATTTAGTGGTTTCAGAAATTATTGGATAAAGGGACGTTCGTATACTTTCAACAAAATTGGAATATATCCTCTCAAATATCAAAATCATTGGTGGATTGCTCGAACAATCATGTATTATAAATTTATATTAAGTTTCAATGGTATGATACTCCTAATTAGCTTATGATAACACTATTATTGATACATGACATTTAGTAGATCTTAATTAATTAAGAACGAAACGTACATATGTGTCATACCAAAGTTTGTGTAAAATAAACTACTTAAAAACTAATGTGTTAATAAATTAGATTTAGTTTAAATTTAGTAGCTACTTTTGAAAAGAAAAATTGTATTCCTACGTTAGAATATATTTACCATGACTCATGAGAAATACAGAACGGAATTTATATACATTTTTTTTTGGCCTCTTTTGAAGACAGGCAATTATTTTGGGGTTTATATAGCATTAATTCTTTAATCATAATTAAAATTTCATCACAATAACTTATGTTGATAACCTTTATTACATGAATTATTAGTGAAACTTCCATTCTAGTTAAAGAAAAGAATACTAAAAATGTTCTTAAAAATTGCACAGAATTTTCCTCCAATTTCCTTTTTTATATAAGTTAAAATTTATTAAAATAGCTAGAAATACATATAAGAGTTAGTAGATCCTTAAACATTGTTTGATGCATTCAAGGAGACACATTACTTGTTATATTTTAAATTGACTTTTTTTTTAATGCATTTTCAGTTTTTGGTGAGTTGTTCTTAAATTATAAGGCCATATGTTCTTGAGTTATTGTACTTTATATTATAGAATAACATGCGTGATCCTTCTTTCAATTGTGCCGTAATTAGTTATTTTCTTAAATAAAAAATAACACGTGATATTGCCAATTTCTATTTGGTTCTACGGTATAAAAAAATAAAAATGTTATCAAGAAGCTATATAACAGTTTTTGTGTGTGTAGGTTTTAATTGTTACAAAGAAATGATAACATGTTTCTTTATTATTATTATTTTTTGCATTATTTAAACTTTATTATTATTTTATTAATATCAGTTTAACCAAAATTTCAACCATTTGAATCTCAAACTACTTCCTTGACTGGTTACATGATTGGATCGTTTATTTTTTTAAAAAAGTTTTAAATGTTTTTTGTTTCTTCAAAGTGTGACTTTTGTTTTAGTCTCATCATTTTTTTTATTCATTTTCAAATCCATATTTTAACAAAAATAATGACATTTTAGTTTCTTAACTAGTAACTTAAAATAAAAGATTTAATTTTTTAAGAATTAAAATGAACAAAGTTTAAAATTATAAATTAAAATCGTATTGTTTTTTTTTTTAAAATTAAGGAACTAAAAAAATAAAACTTTCATAAAGTCTATAGTATTTTTTTAAATACGAGTTAAAATATGTTAATTTATTCTTAATTTTATCTTAAATAATTATTTTTGAAATTTTATATACATTCACTATGTAAATTCGAAAAAAAATTAAACCTTAAGTAAATTTGTACTATATACTTGATAAAGAATCACTGAGTATAATTTTTGGAGTCCAAGACTAATTACCACGATATCATATTAGGTATTCAATCAATCAATTTATATGGAGTCAAATAAGATGAGTCTGAGTAACGAAGTTCACCCTTTAAGTTTTTGATATAAGTAGGAACTCAAACTTGACATCTTTCTGATAATGTTAATGTATAGACTTAACCCCTCCCCTACACGTGGATTCACCTCCTTTTCATTTTTGTTTGTTATTAGCTTCACAGTTTAATTATCATGTACGTAGCTTAGGAAATTCGCAAAATATGCATGAAAAAACAAGGAAAAGAAAGGGGTTAATTTCCCCATGCACACGCTGCAATAACTGGGTACATAATACACGTTTTCTAACAAGGTCGTTGCATTGCATGCATGAAAAAAAAAAAAAAACTATTATTCCTAATGTATGTTAAATATCGACAAGCAAACATTATTATTTTTTACTTTGACATACAAGACACTAATTCCTTTGAAATCTCGTACCAAACGATGTAATGGTTTCGTAAGCTCAATTCTTTAGCCTTTTTATCTTATCTTGCCATGTTGTTTCCTTTGTTGTTATTCTTGAAAGGTATTCGATCGTGGATGTGGCTTTCTTTGTTTCGGGGCCTTCCCATGAACCTTCCAAGAAAACTGTGGTGGGGCCATGCACCAAGCACTTTCATTGGGTCTCTTAATTTACTTTACTTCCTCCAACTCTTTGCTATTTCACTTTACAAGAATGGAAGCACGTTATTATTTTATATAGTGCTATAAGCTTGTTGCATACCAACAACATATATAAATGTGAAATATCACCATCAAACCTTGCTTGTGCTTAAGATTTGGTGTCGTGACAAAAGTTTAAAGCAGTAATCAAACTCGACAGCAAAATTTTCATTGGTCATGTAAGATGCGTCTTGTCCACGAAGCTTCGTACGAAATTAGCCTAATCTTGTATTAATCTAAATGGCCAAAAACGTTTTCTATTGTCTCACGACAAAACACCGATAAAAGTAAGCTCTATTAAGTCACTTTATAAATCTAATCATTTTTCCTTCTCTTGATATGCAATCACAGAAAATATCAAGTTCAGATACTGTGAATAAAAAATACATGATTAGGAAAAAAGATTTTGCTAAAAATGATCAATATCAATAAAATTTATAGATATTTTGTACTAATAATATAATTAAAAAATTAAGATACACAACTTAAAAAGAAAAAAGAAAAAAGTTTAAGATCTATTTACTTGTATTTTTTATTTTCTGTTTTCAATTTTTAATTACAAATTTCAATTTTATTTTCTATATTTCCTGTTCAAATCACTGAAA